GAGCGGCTTTGGGGATGCAGCTCTCCGTGGGTTTCCCGTTTACAGAAAAGGAAATGCTTATCTCGAGAGGCTTTGAGATTTACTGCTAAGGAGGATCATAATAAAGGCCGCCATCCTCCTTCCACCTGGCACTGTGGGTTTTGTTGGCTCGAGGACCTCTGCTCAAGTAGCTCATGTCCACCAACAGCAGAGGACAATCAGCGTTTACGCTGTAGGAAGGCCAAGGAGGGCCTTCCCCCTAAAAAAGTGATGCAGTGAAGGAAACTTTATTCCCAGTTGTTGTCACTCGACGTGCAACTCGGGCGAGTTAGGATGGGCGCGTGAGCAGGAGCCGGGGCGATGGAGCTGGGGCGATGGCGCCGGGGCTGGTGGCACAACTCCGCTTCCTTCCCCCGCAGGACCTGTTTGCACTGGGCCTGTAAGCGGAACCACGCGCAGGTGGTGTCCTGCCTGCTGGATGCTGGTGCCGATAAGCAGATCCTCACTGCTAAAGGAGAGCTGGCTGCAGAGTTAACTTCGAAACCAGGCATCCGGAAGATTTTGGGAGGTACCGTTCCCATCTTAAAAGTTATCTAGAATTCTTGGTCTGAAGCATTTTTAGTGCTTTTATCTGAGGTGGTGGATTGGCAAAACTTTGGCTGGGACTATTGTATCTCATGAGACAGCTCTGTAATTCATACTCAGACCAATGGACTGGGGGATTTCAGGTGGGGAGGCCTTTTATTCTGAGCTGTGTCACTGAGAGATTGAAAAGCTGATACTTCGGGAAATGTGCCACTGCAGTCCTGTTTGCTCATTAAGCAGAACCTAGCATGCAGGCTGCAAATGCAGGCTTTCACAGTTGTACCATTTGACTGTTGTCTGACCATAAGAAAAGTTACAAATCCACTCAAAACACCTGCATCATTTCAGAAGTTATGGCTTCTGAACATTTTGTTATACTGTGACTTGTAGCGTGATTAATTTTTGGCCCATAATTGTGTCATGCACTTCTCATACACACGGCAAACCTAGTCAGATGTGACACCCCGGAATGCTGCCAGTGCCTGTTTCCATCAGCATCTTGGTACCGTTTGCCAGATTAAAATTTTAAAGTGCTTCACCTTTGGGAATGTTGATGTTCTGTCTTCTCCTAATTGCATTTAAATTGCTCTCTACAATAGTACACTCTTACGTCAACAGTGCATGGTTATCTTAAATGAAGTTGCAGCCAAATCATGACTGAGGTTCCAAGCCACAGCTGAAGGAGTGGCATGTCCTTTGCATAAGCATTTTGGTTTTGTTTTTGGCAAAGTGCTCAGCTGTTGGACTTAGCTCATGGCAAACGACTTGCGTTCTACACCATCTCAAGGGTGTGTGAATGAACTCTGCTCATGACTGCTTTATTTCTCTGTCTGCCAAGCTTTCATGCGTTTCCTGGGGAATAAACACCTATCACACATTCTCCTAAATGGTTTTTATTCTGGGAGTGCAGTGCTATTGAGCACATCTTTCTGAACTCCTTCGACATTAGTATCAGTGTCCTGTAATCCTCAGCCAGGCAAAAATGTCATTTACTGCAGTACTTTTAAGCAACAGAAGAGTTGGCTTGGGTATTGTATCAAATGCTCACTCGAAGAAACACTCTGTTTAATTTGTTGGCATGGGTCATAATAAACTCTTTACAGCACTGTGACTAAAAGCATTACAAAATTACATTTAGCAAAGAACTACTAGTCAGTCAGTTCCTTTGAAAACGCTGGAACAACACTGCTAGAAATGACGTATCTTGCAATGGTTATTTTTTTCCCCACTTTGCTTTTAAAAACCACAATACATTGTAGAAATTTGGAGACTTTTCTTTCATTTTACAGCTACTTGCCTTGCAGGTATTACATGCTTATGATAAATCAGTATCACCCTCTGATTACCTCAGAATGGGATGTAGTTTTAGGACGCAACAGGAAAACTAACTATATTCAAAATGAGAAAGGTCTATCCAGTAACATGGTGGCTTTTTTTCTCTCTCCATCCCCTACCCCCCTTTCTGAACTCCATTAATAGAGGAAGAAACTGAATGTCAAGGAGTGAAGGATCTAAATTTGCCAATTGTTCCAAACTACTTGGCCAGCCCACCGTTCCCTTACGCTTACACCGAAGAAAGCATTCCATGCAGCTTGGCAGAATCCCAGAATGAAAGTGCTTCCACCTCTCCTGCTTCCCAGTGTGAAACTAGTCCTTGCTCATCGGCGACTCAGGTTGAAAGCACACGCACGCCCACATCGTGCACCAGCGAAGATGATTTTCCTGCACTAGCCGCTGCGGAACAGCTGCCTGCCCCGTCAGCGACCATCGCCGTGCCGGAGCGCGCCGAGCCCGAGGTGCGGAACGAGCCCGAGGTGCGGAACGGCCCCGTTTGGCAGCCGGCGCAGCACAGCAGGGGGCTGTTCTCTCCGGTAGCATCCGCACAGGCTGCACCTCTGCACACCGACAGTTCTCCTACTGGTCCCACGCCAACGTTTCAGCCCTTTTTCTTTACTGGAACTTTCCCATATAACATGCAAGGTAATGACATCTCATTTCCCGTCCTTCTGTTATACTCTGTTCCATGTTTTTGTTACTGGGGGAAAGATGAATTTAAAGAATCATTCCATTTTCAGACTTGTGTGCAACAGAGGCAGAAATGCTGAATTCCTTGGCCAAAAGTACCCAGAACTTTTTTTCTGCTCTGCTAAGTAAAACAACTGTTACACTGTATTTTAAACATGGTAATAATCTGTGAACCGATGGAAAGATCAGTCCAAGCAGCATAAAAATTCACATTCTGCAATATGTTGTATAGCATCAAACGCATCTCTGGTAGTTTGGTAATAACTTGACTTTGTGTCTGGATGGATCAGATTTTTAACACTGTAAACATGGTTCCCCGGTGTATTTCTTGCTCTTGAAATGGAGGCTTCCATTAACTGCACAGTATTTCTCAGTGAAATAATAGACATTGCATTATAAAACCTGAATTTGAAAGATAATGGTAAATACTGTAGTGTTAGGTTTGGGTTGGATTTTTTTTGAGGAAAAAACTTTTTAATCTTTTTTTCAATCAGAACTTGTGCTTAAGGTGAGAGTGCAGAACCTCAGAGACAATGACTTCATTGAAATTGAACTGGACAGACAAGAACTGACCTATCAAGATCTGCTGAGAGTGAGTTGCTGTGAATTGGGCGTTAATCCAGAACAAGTGGAGAAGATCAGAAAATTACCTAATACGCTAGTAAGAAAGGTAAGAATTGACATCAGAGATTAATTTGACTTTGCAGGCAAGAGAGCAGGCATTTCTGTGAAATGACCAGCAAAACTGACATAAGCTCATGAATTCAAAAGGATGTTGGACTCCTTAAAACTTCGTCATAACTTAAAAAATATTCTTGTCAAAACAGGCAGAGTATTTCAGCTCCTAAAGCACATGAAACTATTACAGCTTGACTTTTTAAAAAATGTCTCAGAAACAGTGCATTAGTATGCTTTTAACATAATTGCCTTGGACTACTGCACTGGTTGCTTGCTTAAAAAGAACAAATAGGGGAAAGAAACCCACAAATTGGCATGTGAATAATTTAAAGATGTGCCATTAACAAATGAACATGCTCTTCTGTTCCAAATATACCTATTCTGGAGGTCTGTAAATGAAGCACATTTGGTCACAGCTCTCAGTTAAGTGACACGCACAAACACGGTCAAATCATACTGATGTTCCAGGAGACAAAAATGTGCTGTTCAAGGAGAACAGAAACCACAACATGCTTTGACAGAAGGAGTGTATACTGGTAGGATTTTTTTCTTTCATTATTTATTCCTATCATTGGGTGTGACCTCCCTGGAATTCTAGTTTGTGCTTCCTTTAGCTGTTATTATAAAGATTTACAAAGTAAGACCAGATATGTTTAGAAGTAACACGTAGTTCTGTCTGTTCTATAAAAGGACAAGGATGTTGCCAGACTTCAGGACTTCCAAGAGCTGGAGCTGGTTCTTGTGAAAAGTGACGGCTCTCCTTTCAGAAATGCTGCATCAGCCCTGACTGAGAGACCGTGCTACAACAGCAGAGCATCAAAGCTGACCTACTGACTCTTCCAGATGCATCTAGAGTATGAAAACCTGCTCATTATATGCTGCTGCCTTCTGAAGGCAGTGAATTAAGCGTGTATAAAACCTTAAGTTATTGTTAGGGTTACTATTTTAACTAATAGTTTATCTTTTATATTTAATATCCCCTTTGCTTTTATTTTTTTACTTGATACTGTATTCTGATAAGGGATACCTCATTTGTCTACTAAAATCACAAGCTTCCAATGTCTTTCAGTGAAGTTCATTGGTTGTATTTGTCAACAGAGGGCAGGAGACTTAATTATTGATACGAAAAGTATTTTGAGTACTCCCACTCTTTGACCAAGTATGGAAAGTCATGGAAAAAAAGAATCAGGAATTTGTGTGTGTGTGTTTACGTGGTTTTTTTTAAACTTCCTGATTAAGTTAAATATCAGAGAGTATTTGGCATAAAATGAACAGTTGCTCTCTTAAAATCGTGTAACTGAGAAGTCCTTAATCTGTTTCCTTTTCACAAAGGTTTACCAGGATGTGTTGTGGTGCCTACTGGGGCTAGAAATATGTAGTGCTCTGAAGTGACAGGAGAAAAACTTTCACTGGGCTGAAAGTTAAGTGGAGCAAGAGTGTCCACATTTAAATGTTTTGTTTCTTTCCTGTATGAGAACACTGTAACTTAAGTAATGGCATCCCTCCACCTCCACAAAAAATAGATGGAAGCCCCTCTTAATTAAGGAGCATTTAAGTCGTAAAGCAAGTTAAGGTGCCCTTTCAAAAGAGCTAGGGCAGAGGAACACAAATCTGTGTCCGTGGTTTTGTTTGTTTTCCCCAGCGACAAGGAGACTATGTGTTATTCGCACCAGACGTCAGTAAAGTCAGGTAACTTGTTCGTGGCCCACCCTCACAGACCAGTTCCAGGGCGTGTGGTTAGTTCCTGCTGTGTGAGGAGCAGGAGAAGCACAACAGTAAGGCACGTACTGTGCCCTTGATGAGCCGTACTGAACTGGAAACATACACCACCAGGAAACAACCAACCTGTAACTCTGCATGTCGCACGGTCTACTATGGCTTCTACACAGCATCCAGCGTTTTAGCGAGGTGAGTACCAGAAGGGCTGAATACCTCCAGGTGCTTTCAACTGCATTTTTTTGGTGAAAAAAACCCACAAAACCCAACGGACTCTGGTTAAGCTACTGACTGCTTAACTTTCATTTACGCATGTCAGTAATGAAAATATCCATCTGTGGTTTTATGAATGGCAAAAGTCAGCATTAAACCACACCCTAAGTCACTCCTTTTCAGTCCAAACAAAGTATTTAAGTGGCAGTATTGCTGGAGTATTAACAGCCTGAATTTTTTCCTGTTAACCTGGCATGCCCCAAAGTTACACCTTAAGAGGCTTTTTGTTTTCTTTTGTACCAAAAACTACAATGATGACCTTTGCACCAAAAACCTTAATTGGGTACTGGGGCTGGTGGAGGGGTGAGTCGTCACTTTTTCTGGATATGAGCTGCTTCCCCACTCCTCCCCACTCAGTATGGATTTTCCTTCCATCTCTGCTTTATTAAGCTACATTAGAGCAGAGTTTACACACAGCCGATGCAGTGTGTGGTGTTGCTGATCTGACTGTAGTGTTGACATTCAGACTATAAATAGTACAATCAACGTGTTCTGGTAGGAGCAGCATGGCTGCCCCCTGCCTGAGCTTCCTGCAGCACAGCTGCTTTATCCTTGAAGTGGCTCCTCCAAGCCAGGTCAGTAAAAGCACCCATGGCAGCCCCTTCTGCCACCAGCAGAGACACCTGCCTCTGGGTTCGGGATTTCACCAAGTTCTTCTTGCTTAGTGCATTCAAAATAATTACCATCCTTTACCCTTGTCTCCATGTTCATCTTATCACTCAAAATTCTGCTAACCCCCATTCTCAAGCCTGGCTCTTCTCTCTCCAGGAACTGGACTAGTTTAAAGCCCAATTCAAGTCCTGGTAAGCTCAAGACTGTGACACAGTATAAAGTAAAATTTCCCAACCATGGCTCCCGCTTCGTTCTTCCTGTAGGACAGGAAAGGAGGTTTTGTTTTAACAACTGTATATTTGTCTTTTCAGCATAGCTTGGAAGCTAAAGCTAGTTCAGATTATGTGCAATAACTGCTTGAAAAACAGCAGTAGTTAAATAGCTCAAAATTAAGAGTACCTAATTTCTTTTCAGTTCTTTTGTTTAGGAAATCGGTGTAAAGATTGCCTCTGCTAATTACTAAACATTCAGCTATTGGAGCAGCTGGTTTTAAAAAAGCTTTATTTGCTGGTTTAAAAAAAGCTTTATTTGCTCTAGTTTCCACAACGAATAACAGTTAATGTGGTAAGACTAAAACTTTAATCATGATCTGACTGTAATAATAACAGTAAGTCTATGCATTCAGAGAAATATTTTTGTATGTTTTATGCAGTTTGATAAACTCTAAGGCACACTAGTTATGTTAACTGTTTGTTGTTGTTGGTTTTCCTTTGAACAGTAAACTGTTGGTATGACAACTGAAACTAAGTTTACAAAACTTACTGTTCTTCCAAGGACAACTTTTGTTTGCACTACAGACTTGTACTGAACTGACACAGCTACTCTTCACTTATATTAAAAGTATCAGTTGTTTCAAGTACCTACATCTCTTTCTTTTTCAGGGGCGGGGTGTGGGGGATGATGCATGGCACTCTAGAGTGGACAGCACCCTCTTAAAAATCTAACACAACTTTAAAAAAATCCTGGGCCAGTACATTTTTAACACCTCATAAAAGACTGGCTGGCTGCCAAAACCAGTATGGAGAAACCATGCAGGAGGTGCTTATTTAAGTAAGCCACTTGCTTTTCCATAGCATTCTTAGAAAATCTGAGACGATATTTATCATGGGCTTGAGCCCTGAGGATGACATTTTTCACACAGATGAATCTGTTCTGGAGACTCCCGTTACGAAGGTAGTTACCAGAAAGGCACCATGTTTCCTATGCTCTGAAAGACAGAATTTTTCCTTCACCTTCAATGCACTAGAGAAAGACTCCACTATCAGACACACCAACTTAACACAAGGTACCTCATTTCATCATTTGTACCTCTGCAAAATAAGGAAGGAAAAACACTAGTCCTCTAACAAATATGTGCAATGGAAGGTGCATGACAAACATTTCAGCCACTGAAAGCAGTAACACATTCAGGCAGTAGCTGAATCATGTCTTTTACACAAGTTTCAAAAGGAGTGGGTGTTCATGAAATTAGAACTTAGTTATAATTTTACTCATGCTCACTTGCATTCATTTTTCTCGTTTGTTTTGTGGGTTTTTGTTTGTTTTAAAACTGCACTACCCAGTGTCATGCCCCTGGGCCCCCATACAGGTGTCTGCTTTAGAAAGATAAAAGTCAAAAAAAGGCACATGGCTGGCTGCATGTGGTACCCCTCCTTGGCAAAAACCCAGCACTCATGTCACCAGAGGGACCACCATGCAGGTCCTTTCATAAGTGCACTTCCACAGACAGATGATGCAAGGCACACCAACATTGCAACAAGCAAGTTACAGTGGTGCTTTGTCCGTGTTTGACTTCAGTTACATGTACAATCAAGTCCTGCATACTAACAGGAAGGATAATGCTCTTTGTAAATGATATCCCTCACAGACACAGCACTGAAGTGCACTTTACTGTCTCTACTGCCGACTAGTACACGCAGTTCTTTTCCAACAGGAACTATGCTTCACGAGGAAGCGTAAGGGAAGTCTCTCTTCCCTGCTATCTGTTGTAGCATGCCAACTGCAAACAGTTGTTAATTAACATTTCAAACTGATACTGCAATGCAAATATAAAGGCAGCCTGATGGCCAATCTCATCAGTGGCATCTTGATGATAAATAACACTGTCAAAGTCTTAACTGCTTTATAAAGGCTTAGGGCCTACGTTTTCATTGCGCGATTTCTGTTATTTCTTAACCAACTGCAGCATAAGCCCCACTTTTTAGGGGACACAGAATCCCACAGCTGTCCAACTGCTGAGAAAGTAAGCTTGAAATGAAATACTAACTGATGGTACTAAAAAAAAAACAAACCCAGAAACACCACAGAATAACTAAGCATCCAAATTAATGGACTAAGCTTGAAGACATGAGTAGATTTATTAGGAAAGAAACTTATTTAATATTAAACGTTCAATGACAGAGACAATCAAATTTGTAACAGAAATTCAAAGATACTTTATTTCCATTTCTTGTATATCAAGAAGCTAGGAATAGCTTAGTTGTAAAAATGGGATTCATTTTAGTTCGATTCACACAAATACTAAACATTTATTCTTGTGTTTTAAAGTCCAAGAATGAAAACTTGCAATTAAACACTGAGCAAGCCATGTGTTCAGGTTATGTTGGTTTCTTATCTTAAAAAGTCTTAAAGAAAAAAAGATACAGGACTTATATTCTCAGTAGCATGTGTGCTATTATCAACACATCTTTATGAATTCTGGGAGGAAACACCAGTCCTGAATTAAATTTTATAAAAAAAAAATTCTAACTCAACTTTATATTTCTCTACGCCACTACAGCTTTCTTTCACCTCATTTTAATGCAGATCTTCAGTTTAAGCTGTCTTCCGTTGTCTTCGCAGACTCTTCATGTAGTAGTCCTATAATGGAAAATTTTGGGAAAACAGACAATTAGACAGCATTAAGGGCATTTAGTTTACCATTCCTATATATTGGCCCAGTTGTTAGCTGTCATCTTAACTCTACAAAAATGTCAACATTGAACATGACTGGCTTTAGAAGCAATAATGTAGCATTAACGGTTTAATAATCAGCATTAAGTGTTTAAGAGTTCCTAGCATAAATAATGAAACTACAGTAACAATTTATGTTGCAAGAAGCTCATTTATCAGCTGTACTCTCCATTGTTAGTTCCTTATTTCAGGTATACAACTAAACACCTTCTGTAAGAGTAAGAAAGCTATGTCAAGAGTGGGGAAAAAACTTCAGGTTTTCCTTTTAACAGAGTATTTGTATTTCCTATTTTAGCTCTTTCATTTCCAACAAAGTTTTTCAGCATACATTCTTGCCATGAACATTCCAATCATTTGGTGGCATCTGTCTTTACATTTGCCTTAGGAGTCTGTTATCAGCCATTCCACTTCTCTGCACTATGGCTGACTGCAAATTCTCCTACACAGTAGGAAATATTAAACACATACCTCTTAAAGACTTGAATTGCATTGAAAGTAACAAGGCGATTATTATGTAGTGTTTATTGCATTTTAAACTCTTTAAAGATATCTAATTCTGGGCAGCACTGCATCCCTACATACAGTTGAAAGAAAATTCCATTCTGTTAACATCAGATTAACAGTATTCACACAATACACAAAAAGTCCTTTTCACTATCTTGAAAATCAAAAACACAACAGTAAGCTTAAAGATTACAGGCAACAGCATTCAAACATGGATGTGGGTAGAGAAAGGAGTACCTGGCATGAGTACCTGCTTAGTTTGACTGAATCCTTGATTTTTAATTTGGCTTTTCATGGGCCGCTCACAACACCAACGCTGTGTGAGGTATGGTAGTCAGCTGCAATAATTCATAAACCCTACACTTCCATCAATCCAATGCTACTGGCTCTCGAGTTACAGAACAAACTGCATTAGAATGCAAGGCAATAAAGCAAAAAAACTAGAAACATCCTTGACAAAGAAATACTAGCAGTTTATATGAAAACAAAGTAGTCCAACATGTGCCTCAAATATTAAGTATTAAAGCAAAAGTTTCTGCTGATGTACCAACACAATATGGACTTAAATACAAAAACAGTTCAACTTTTTAAAAAAACGATAACAAAATCCCTAAAAATAAAAAAGGATAATTAATTTTTCTATGGTGACTATATTACCATATATAAATGTCCCAAAGAGGCACATTAATGGGGGCACGAGTCTGCTACAAAATAGCTGAGACAAAACAATGTACCTCAAAATGTTTTGCAGGACTACACTGTCTTTTCCTTCAGAAGGTGCTTTAGTATGTCTTCTTACTTGGCTTAGTTCCATCTTCATCTGTGCATACTTACGCTGCACTGTTAAACAGTAACAAAAAGCCCTAATCAAAGTTTGAAATAATGCACTTACCTCTGTCTGATCTGAGGTCATATCAGATCAGTTTTAATTGGACTGAGTGTCACCTTCAGATTTAATGTCTTCACTGGTCCCATTGACCTCATTCTTAGTATCACTCTCCTTCGAGTCTGTATTTGTGTCTTCACTCTGTTTTTCTCGACTACTGGACTTCATACTACTTTTTTTATCATCAGATCCCCTCTTTTCTGCCATGAAAGAAGACATTGACCATGGATTTCAAAGTAAAAACAAACATTGCACATGAGATATATATTGCATACAACATGGGACAATTACTTTCTATAGCAATAACAGTAATACTCAAAAAGTTACAGAAATAGGCTTCAGACTACTGTGCTGGAATGGAGAGGGTACAAAAAAGGTCAAAGGGTGGGGAAAAGAGGAGAAAGGACAGATCTCCTAACAGAGGCAGCTGCTCAGCTGTCTGTTCAAACACACAAAATCGGGGTTAAAGAGGCAGTCGAGAAGTTAGGCAAATATGTAATTATGATGCATGGCTTCCTTACTTATCGTGGGCCACTCTTTGTCCCAAGTTTTAATTTATGATGTGTATGGCCTTCTTTGGTTTACAATTCTCATTAAACATGGTTCTTGAAAACAGAACCGGCAGGGAGCCAGTTCTGGTGCATTATCAAATAAATCAATAGTTGCCAATCAAAAATAAACGAGGAACGCCAAACAATCAAATACTGGGAGAAACAAACAATATTAAGCACCGCTACCTTTGAAGGTGGGGATCACAGTGACAATTAACTTTACTGTAGAGTATGTCACAGAAGCTGCAGACTTGTCAGCATGATTAATTCTCAATTTTATAAAAACAGTAATCATTTATAATCCACTCATTAAAAAGGCTTGGGGAGACAGTTTGCAAGATACATAAAAAGCACTATTTTCCAAAGGTAAAGGAACAGCAAGATGGAAAGAACCTCGTAATTCCATCATGAACAGGAAAGCTGACTGGAGGTTTTGCTACACTGCTGAAAACCTCATTTTTTCCTCAATAATCTTCAAAGAAGGAAGGAAGCCAGAAATAAAAATATTTCCATGGGAAGAAAAACATTCCATAATGGAGCTGCGTGCCTCATCCATAAATTCGCAAATTTAACAAAAATATCAATTCTTTCTATATTATTTCACATCATAATATTCAACCTTTGATGAGTAAAGACACTTTGGAAAGGAAAAAAAAAATCTGAAAAACCAACCTCTTGGATGTCATCACACAGAACAACATTCATGCTCTTTTTTTCTGATTATTCCCTGCTATCCGGGCAATTAAAATAAATAATATAAATATATATATATTTCCCCCCAATACAGGAACACACAGATTGAACACTCCGAAAAAGCTATTTTAAATAATGTTATCACCTAGACTGGCATTACACACTTCTGGAATATAGAAGACAAAGTAGAAATTAAGCTTGAAAAGAGAAGCAACATCCCGACTTCTTTATTTTAAAACAGACCACCAACGGGAGGAGTAAAGACCCCACAGAAATGAGGGCAACTGCCTAACGAACACTAGTGCTGGGGTTTCACCTGAAGCAGCACATCCAGCGCACGGTGCCTGGAGGAAGCACGCAGCGATGTCAAAAAGCCAACTGGAGAACTAATCATTTTGTATCTGTCTGCCCTCGGTTTTGCAACTCCGCAGGTAGATTGCACTCTAACTAACCTTGTTAAAAAGTCTTCTTTTTGTGTCTTATAGGTATCTCCGATGCACACGTAGATCCACTGAGGAATAGTAGTCTTGTTTCCCCGCAGAGGACTAGTAGTCAGTCCAATAATCTTATCTTCTGTCCTATGTAGATATGGTAGATCTTAATAGCCCTATGGATGTGCAGTGTGCAGGGTTTTGTTCTGTCTTGTTTGTTTCTTGAATTTATTCAGGAAGGATAATTTTGTTTAAGGTTAAAAAACTACTAAACTGTGGTATGAAAGATGAAACTCTGCTGTAAACTTTAATAAAATAGTTTTACCATAGCAAACCTCCAGTTTGCCAAGCGGAACTGAGAAAGTGTATTCAACAAATAGTCCAATAACTGAACTTCTTTCAACTCCTGGAGTATCTGCAAGCAGTTAAGTTCCTCCACTGTATTTTCAATCAGTAAGATTTCTTTCTTTAAAAGCATATACAATTAGTTTGCTGTTGAAATTGTGTCTATTATTTCAGCTGTGATCTACTAGGTGTCATCACTTAATATTGACTTTGCTTCCTGATTCAGCACATGCACGTTTTTCTGATTGAGTTCACGTGGGCAACTGAGATTTATTTTGTAAGAATTCTTACCGGGGTAATGTGAATGGTTTTACTGTTCAGGGAATGCAAAAATCAGTCAAACATAATATCCAGTATTACTGAGGGGTTGGGTGTTCTGACAGTATTTGCTGAGGTTTAATCACTAACATGAAAACACAGTCACAAATATAATAGAAGTATTGAATCCAGATTAAGGAAGCTAAAGAGCCAAGTTAGTGCTCTGGACGCAAGTTCCAGTATTAACTCTTCATAAAATGAAGGTACTTGCAGAACAGATGTTTGCCTTTTCTTAAAAAAAAAAACCCACCTTAATTATTCCACCTACTCTGAGGGCAGTTTACTTGACAGTACCTGTGTTCTGCTGGTTTATATTAAGCTAATGCTCAGCTGGTGTTCACAGCTGGCAGGCTCCCTCCTTTAGCAAAGGTATCCCTATTCCTGAAACTTGAGTCAGAAATTGCCTCCATTTTTACATATATTTTTTTTCTTACCATCTTAAAGATCTCTGTATTCCACAGCATTTTAGTAAACAAGAAGCCAGGACTTCTGAATTTTCAAAGTATGGCACTAATTTAATGCGTAACAGTAGGCAAGTCTTGGGTAACTGTTCCTTGGGGCTTTTTTTGGGTGGTTTTTTTGTTTGTTTTTTTTTTCCCCTCGCCCTGTTAAGATTCATATTTATAAAGCAGTTTGAGATTTCAAGATGAAAGGCACTACCAGGAGTAGTTACAGTCAGGCCTTTGCTGTTTGCTTTTATAACTGCAGATCAATGGCAGATAAAAGACAATTACATTCTGAAGCCAATATTCCAACGGAGCAGTAAACATAGTAAGTTAGGCCTTAACTTCTACATTATTTCTCTAAAGCAAGCTACTTAACTACCAACAATGCCACACTGCAAACATGAGGATATACTGGTGTTTACAGCATCAGAGAAATTCAATGTTTGCTTGTTAAATACTATTGGTTTGGCTTTCTCCTTCCCCCCCCCCCGTTTTTTGTATTGAAGATTTTTCTCAACAAAGGAAAAACAAACTTCTTCAGTATTACAGTCCTGCTCTAAGGCCTATTTGTGTTTCTGCAAGTGTTATTGAAAAAAGTAATTGATTTTCCAAGGTGGAATTTTCATCACGGCTCATAGCATCACCTCATTGTTCTCATTTCTGGAGGAAGAAAGTAGCAAGCAGCAAACAAAACGACCAGCAAGGAAATCAATCAAGTTAAAACTAAAAATATTGAGATGCTGAAGAAAGTTCACTAGCTCCTCCGTTTATGGAAGGATTAAGGAAAAAACTGAAAAGCCATTAATCTCAGCAACAGACCAAATGTGAGTAAATACTAACAGTTATTTATATGCATAGATACACTCAGAGAACTGAACAGGACTTTCTTGACTAAGTACCAGAAATCTGTTCATAAAGTAGACAAAAGAGACACAATATCAGATAGGAATAAAGTAATAAATGGACAGATATAGATTACAATACTGAATCCGAATTTAAACACTACGCATCAGTTCCACTGCCAATGAGCAAGCAACTAAAAACTGCTTGCTTATAAAGGGCAAAGCAAAATGAGAGACGAATCGATACTAAAGATGCACCATAGTGTAAACCAGAGAAATTAAAACGATCCAAGGAAGTCAGGCAAGAAAAATACATAAAGCATTACCAACATTTTCGGAACTAATCTGCCGGGTCAATATGGAAAAGTAAGGGTAGGGCAAACAGGCCTATGCAATCAGAAAGACGCACATAGCACCTTTCATTTCAGAGAACCTCCAAAGCCCCTTAGGAACATAACAGAGCTGTTTCACCCATTACTGACCGTCAGCTCCAACTACACGTGGAGCGGCTGCTCCGGACTGCACATTAGCCAGCAGTTTAAGCCAGAAGTTAGTATTACATTCCTCCAGACTTTTAAAGGGGGAAATTTGGCAGTACCAGTGAATTAGCGTCTTTTCACAGAACGTGAATCTGTAGCGTTCTCTCTGTAGCTCTTTTTAATCCTACTTTAAGGTAAAGCTTCTCAACACTGGCCTTTGATGAAGCATTGAGTCACCATCAATGCTGTTGTACAATGCATATACTGCTATAAAAGCGCTCCAAGGACTGATACAGCATTCCTTTGAGACTCACCTGAATAGTGACAAAGCAAATCTCACTTCATTTACAAAAAAAACCCCACAAAACAAGGGGAGTGGGGAGAAGGATGGGAGGAAGAGCAGAAGATTGGACAGAGGGCATGAAATTGTAATTTAGAGCTTTACAGAAATTCTGTAAGATTTCTCTTGGACTGCATTCATAGATTTTGAGAAAAAATAAAAGCATTGTTAAAGGAAAATAAAGGAATCATGATCTTGTAGAGAAGCAATAGATGCTGCAGGTTAAAAACCAGCTACCAATCTCCCACAAAACACGTACCAGCAAAGGGTAATTACGGAAACATCTGCTAAGAGTAGGAGTAGAAGATATTCACTCTTACGAAAATCTGATTACAAGCTTATATTTTTCTGAAGGTAAACAGGTCTTAAAATACATCAAAATCCTCACACACTTAATTTGCAGACAAAGTGGTAAGCTTTTAATAACTACTGTAACTAAGAGGTGAACACTGAGGTGCACGTATGCACGCACGTGAGTTAATAACTGGAATGAACAAAATGCTCTAAATTGGTTAACAGCAACCCAGAGTTTATAAAACCAGATCTGACTTCATGCCAAGAACTTTCAGTCACTCACTGAAAGACTAAGAGCTTTTGAAAGATTAGTTTCAGAACATGACATGAACTCAAGTGTTCACACAAACATACCTTTTTCTTTTGACTTCCTGTCTTGTTCTCTCTCTCTGCTTTTGCTTCTGTGCTTGTAGGATTTCCGATCCCGGCTCTTTGATCGCCTCCTGTCCCTACTGCGAGACCTGTGTTTTCTTTCTGATCTATCATGACTGCGGCTTCTTCGTCGGTCACGACTCCTTAACATTCAGAGGAAATTTCAAAAATGTAAATGTCAGCTGGTATTTTGTGAAACAGTAGCACTTTCCAATTCATTGATTATTTGCACTCAGTACATTAAGACCTGGCTTCACATTGTCTTCTTCGTTTACTCAAACATTCCACCACACAGCTTAAAAGATATCCACTACTAGACACCCCCACAGACCACCACACACCCTCACAGACCTGCTTCGCCTTCTTTCTCTGCTTCTTGATCTTTTGTGGTCTCGTGAACGGCTGCATCTTCTGTCAGATGTTCTGCTTGAATGTCTACTCCGTGAACGACTCCTTTTACGTCTCTCTCTATCACGAGCCCTCTCTTTTTCCTTTTCTTCTTCTTCACGTCGTCTCTTCCTTTCCCGCTCTTCTCTTTCCCGTTCCCTCTCTTTCTCTCTCTCTTCTCGTTCTTGCTTCTCTTTTTTTAACCTCTCATCACGGTCAGGTTCTTCTGTTCTTTTTCGTAACTTTTCCTTTAAAAAAAATTCACAGAAAGAAATGAAGATTACTCAAGATAAACCATTCAACATAACTTAGGTTTATACATTTTGAAGATGTAGAAGCTTAAGCTTCTGAAGTATTTCAGGTTTTCTTTCCAAACAGGATGGCCTACACAAAAGCCCTTTCTAAAATCCCTGAAACAGAAATCCTCTGTCTTGCAGAACTTTTTTCTTGTCATTCTCAAAAGAACAGAGGCCACACTACAGTTCTTTACAAAAGCTACAAAAAATTCCCACCTGAATTTACATCTTTGCTTACATCCAGTGTAATCACATATGACAAAGAACATCAGTGGAAGCACAATGCTAAATGTGCAGTGGGATTCCATTTAATTTTTATATACTATCTTGAGAGTATTTCACCCACTTGATAAAGTCCACTGAACAGCCTTTTGTTTACCATAGGAAGCCTCCAAGCAATTTTTTACATTCAATAACTGAAGAGATGCTTACCTTTAAATCTTCTACAGTAGCTTTTATTTTGGCATAACCCATATGCTGCTTTCCCATCAAGTGGTCATCTACCCTAGACTGTGCATCTCCTACAATTAAAAAGGCTCCACAAACTTCACAAACTTCCATTTGCTTTTCCTGGGCTGCAAAGCTCTCGATTGTCTGCAGAAGAAAAATATTCAGTAAAGCAAAAGAAAAGTTTTAGCCAGAAGCCAGTGAAGAGGTTTAGAACTTTACTGTTACTGTTGTCAAATCCTAGGCACTAATGAAAGCTGAAAATCATTAACTGAACGCTTTGTCTTCAGAGCACTGCAGCTACTAGGATGAACAGGGCAAAAATAGGCTGCATACACCCATTCCATGTAAGCCACAAGGAAAGAGTCAATTATAAAACACAAAACAAACGCTATTCCTCACTGCAAAGGATTAATATGTATATAGCTGTATCTGCAGATTCCTTACAATCTCAGGATTAAGGAAAATAAAAATCAGTTTTCTCTGAAGAGGACTTCTTTGGCATGAATTGAAATGTCTGGAGCTGCAGAATAACCATGGAATATGTCTCAAGAAATATATCATGAAGAAATACAAAAAGGAACACTGGGCTTTTATTTAAAAGGACAGCGAAGAAATTAATTCACTGTTTCAATGGACATACAAGAAATACACCAGAATTTCCACATAAACCCAAGCGATTATTACTGTGCAATGTTCATGAATCATACAGTATGGACTATGATTCAGTAGGACCAACACTATTGCCTGCAACATTCCAGAACTTTTGAAAAATAAAACAGAAATCAATTTCGGTGTATTATTAAACACCGAAATACAATGTTTAAACATAAGCTCCTTTTTGTTGACAGGAATTTGCTACTTAACACATTACTTTTGGCTTCTGTAGCTCTCGAAGTCAGACAGATGCCTGTCTCTAGTCACAGCCCTAACACAAGGGCTTTCTGTAACAGTCAGATTGGTAGTTCAGTGAAATAATATTTCAGAAGCTACTTGGCAAAGTTTAACTGAGACTTGAACTAGAGTAAGCTGCAAGCTCACCTCCAGGACTGCTACGTAAATAACTTCATTATTTGTGTGTATGAAACCCACTCTCGAAGTAGCATGCTAAATCAACATACTCAATTAACACATTTAAGTGTCACGTTATTGTCTAAAAAAATTCTGCACAGAACTTGCACACCTTCAGTGTAAAAACAAGGTTATTAAGAACACACTGTTGCATCAAATTTTGAAATAAGTCTGACAGAACTATAAACACATTACTTACTGACGTTGTAGACCTCAGCAATTCTCTCTCTTCCTTTAACTGTTCAACAAGTTTCATCATTCCTTGTGCCTCCTCCACCTTCCCTTCTGAACCTAGTTCTTCAATCTAAAGGACAATTAAAAAATTCAACTATAATTTTTAATCAAGTAACAAAAGCAAGAGATCTCTCTTATACGGGGTGAAAAAACCTCACCTGTTGTAGAAGTACATCAATTTTGTCAGTTAACACTTGAATCTTCTCCTCATTTTTACCGGTAGGTCCCGCTCCCTGCCAAACAGTACAAGTGTTGAGGTTTTGTTGGTTTTGGTTTAGTTAAAATAATTTTAAAACACATGAATGTGTGTCTTCTCATATTCCAGAGACACTTTAGGAATAACCTCCCCTAGCCTCTTCTCCCATGAAGACCTACTAATAATAATAGTCTAGTCTAACACAAAACACTCAACACAGCTTACTCCGTTCTTGCTGAGTGAAGCAAGCTCTAGTCACACTAATTCCTCCTAAATCAACAAAAATGTTCAAGGCCCTGGCCCATAAAAGGTAAGACATCTGAATTCAAAGTCCTAAATTTAAACTCTGAATCTGCCATGGAGCTATTACATATCTTTGCAGACATTCAAGTATGAGTTAGAAGTTCCACGGGCCCTGAAATTTAACTTCTGAGCATAAATGCAAAAAGAATCTCACTTCATCCAAAATGTACTTGTTAGTAGTGTTCTCTCTATAGGCTGCTGGAACAGACTTACATCTGCTTCCCCCACCACCTTTGCTCTATTCCACAGCCAATAAGTTCTCCTGACCAAGGATACTCTCCCCAGCTCCCTCTGAAGCAACTGGACTTTGCACAGAACAATTAACTGGGGCAGCAAAAAGGCTCAAGGCTACCCTAGCAGCCACGAAAATGTAAGAGAGCAGTGACTGCTCCAAGTCAATCAATCAAGAGACAAGAAAAAAAATCAGTGGAGTTAACATGTAAAATTTTTCTCCCAGTCAGTTCAAGCTTTTCATTAACAGCTGTCTAGTATGCAGCTTGGAACTGAGAAAAGCTGCACTGAAGTACTTCTTTCTCCAACTTCCAGGATTCCATCACTGCCTGCCAATGGTGGTGATGGAGCAGAAAGGCTACAGCCTAAGGGTGGCACATGACCGGGGGATTTAGCATCACCAGCTGCTGAAAGACCCAGTACTTGCCTACTTCAGTAACATCAATGTGAGACAGCTTACTAACTGAGGGGGAAGGAGGAATCTGCAACTAAGGGAGAGAAGGTTATCTGAGGGTAAAGACAACACTTGACAGGATTAATGTTCCAGGGCAGAGAACAGATACTGATTCTAAGGAAAAAAAGACTGGGAGAATAGAGAGGGACTCCTGCTGACTGTGGAGCCACTTGGCTTGTCCATTAGGGCTAGATGCAATCTGCTGGCTAACAATTGAGGAGATTTATCTAATAGGAATCCTCTGGAAAACAATATATTTTACCCAAAGAGACAAGGTAAAGAGAACATGAAGACACTATCTAGAGGAAAAATTGCCTCAATGATTCTTCCAGACTCACCCCAGAAGACTGTTGATTCTGTGACAGTGCCAAACGAGCATGGCCTCTTCGAATCCTGCGTTCTACCTCTGCAAGCAAGCTTTGCAAATAGCGTAAGAAGTCTCTTTCATAGCCCACTTTCATAAAACGAGAGCTCTTCTCATACCTGGTAAAATATTTCAAAAATGAAAGCTCACGTCACTCCATAACGTATGAAAAATAAATAATAAAACCTACAATGTTATAAATTCTTACTCGAGGTAAGAGCATATTATACATTTAAATAAATGTTTACATAAATGAAAAAGCAATTAGTTTCTCATGGTTGGGTGGCTTTTAGGAAATTTCAAACACACTAGAAACACTATTTGCATTAACATATCAACTAAAATACTTACTGTTTACGTAGATTTTCATCATGAATTTTTTCACAAGGACCTAAAAAGACCAAACAAAAAGTTTAAGCTTGCATTCTTGAATGCTGTATTCACACTCCATCAGCATTTGTTTGTGCACCATAATGAAAAGAGTTATAAACACTTCCCAGGGACTCTTATGCCTGCCTTTCTGCTTTCTTTGCTTGGAGTTTGAAAGACACATTAAAGAAAAAGAATGTCAATATGGTTTACTAATTATAAAACCAAAGGAGATTCTGAATCACATATAAAGTCTTCACATAAAATAGAATTTCCATATCAAGTTCTGCACAGGTGAAACTACACAAACAAAATAATACCTTAAACACCTGGGGCCTTAAGGGGAAGGAAAAAAAAAAAAGAAAAAAGAAAAATGACATAGGAAGGGTAATTTAACCAAGCACTTTCAAAGCTCCAGTGTTCTTTGTCATAAACAAGTGGCTTCGTAAAACGTTGACTTTCCGAGTAGAATTAGGAGGTATGTGGCCTGAGTGAAGGCAGTCATGTTAAAGTTCCTCACCTTCCCCAGTCTATCAAACTCTGCAATGGACTAGGAAATTAATGCTAAGACAAGAAGCCTGTTTTTCCTAGTTACTGTCTCCAAACCACACGTTGTCTGCATACCATCACTTGAAAGCTACTAGTAATTAGAGATGGCCTTCAGTAATAACTATTCTAGTAAATGAGTATCTAACATAATGAGGCCCAAAAATGTAAGGAAAAAAAAGTTTTTTCACTTAGAGGAAGTAGGATCTGGAGTAAATACTGCTCTTAACATAGTATATCACGGCAACCCTTTAAAAATAAAAGTCTCTTTTTAAAGTGTTTTGACAGAGCATTAAGCAATAAAAACGTAGTGTGCAAACAAAAGTTCAACAGTAATTACATACAAGTGAATAAAGTTACAAGACTTACAGACTTACCTAAATCAGAACGGGTATTTGTAAATAATTCAGCTGGGCAAAAGCCACAAAGGTAGTATTTACAAACCTGACAGAGGGGAAAAAAGAAACAACCATCATTTTTTTCTTCATGAATTAGCAGTTTTAGATAATTGCTTCTATCTTCTAAAATACAGTGTAAAAGCCCCCTTTGCACACTGCAAAATTTCTGAAAATTACACAGGTACACCCTCTATCTTTGTGTTACTTGGTAGCAGTAAACACTACAAGGTGCATCTTAACCAAAAAACACCAAAATTCTTACTTTCCATTGCAATAACAGTATTTCTTAATTCTATTGCTAAATATTTCAGATTACAGGAAAGTGTCATCTATTTGTAAATGCAATATAGCATTTGGTATTTCCAAAGGAATTAAATCACACTGGACTACTGAAAAAGTTACTGTGAAGTTCCCTAACTGTGAACACCTACAAAGGGTGAGAAACATCTGCCTTGGAAGCACGAAAGCAAGTTCCTCTTAGCTTGTCTGTAACAATTTTGTGTTCAGCCTCCACTTCTTCAATGCTACCGGCTTGGAGAACAGGAGCCATCAGCATTCAAACTGAGGCACTGCCTCAAGGATTCTGCTGTCCATCAAAAGACTTAAGAACACACACAGTAACTATCCAAACGCTTCCCTGCTCCATTGCTTTTAAAAATGCCTACTTTAAGAATGACATGCAAAGACACGCTGTATACCTCTTAAGGCAGACGACATTCATTTTAACCTCGTTTCCTGCCAACTAAAAAAGGATTTGTTTTGTTTCTACATAGTCTATTTCTACTTTAGCAAGTCAGGTTCTTTTTGATAACAGAAAAATACCACCAGGAAGTCAAGAAAAAAACCAAGCTGTTAGTCTAGCCAGTAAATACTTAACATATGATGGGATAAAACCAGCTTTTGTTAAAAAGATTATTCACCCTCACCCATGAGCATGGGCTTGGCTGGTCAAGTTGGTCAGTTCTTGAAGTTCATAAACAGAAATACCTCCTGTCTATCCATCAGAACAGCCAAAAAGATAAAAATCAGAAATACTTTCACCTCTAACTTCATAAGCAATCTTAAATAATTAATTCTTCAATAGACCCTTCCCCTGGATGTGATGACCAGTAATTAACTTAAGCATCAATCCAAAACTAGTCTGGACATTCTTCTAACATCTCCTTTATGTTACACCAGTTTCTAGTGTTTGGCAAATCTAGTAATTGCTACTGCACATTACAACCTAGTTCTAACAATTTCACACATTCTGTGGACAAAGATTTGTGACATATTATTTCCTCAGATACATTCAAAGTATTTTAACAAACAGGTGAAGAGAGACACCCAAAACCAATCCCACACCAACACCTCACCGAAATGCCTGTGACACCAGTTGATCAAATTAGATCAGTCTGATTTATTTTTCCACACTAACTGCCAGACTGCAAATCAGACTACAGAAGTTAAAACTGGACTGACTGCTTTACAGATTACACAGAAAAACAATCAAGCTTTCTACTAACAAGCCATGGACACAAAAAAAAAAAAAACTCAAACCAAAACAGAAATCTCTTATCACATAATTTGAATACTTCTCTTGTGATCCAGGTTACAACACTGTGGCACCTATCTGAAGCCATTTGTCAGGAATAGTTAAGAAAACATCACACGAAATCACAATTTGTTTTTTCTTCTTAGGAAGCAAGCAGAAAGTTACTGGAAAAAATGTGGTTTCAGAATCTGCTCTCTTCTCTGAAAGCTCCAATATCCCTTGTTCTAATATCACGTTGTTTCAAGGGAGCAGTTTCTAGAATGAACTCCTGTACTAATCAATAGAAATATAATTTCTAATTTCTCTCTACATTCTTCTTCTCCTCCGTTTTCTCATCCTCACATCCAAGTACTGAAGTCAGTGAAAAGGCACTTCCCCTAGAAAAATTTAGGGATGGATTAAACAATTTCCTAAGATGCAGGGAACACAACAATAACAATCTGACCATATTATGATGTAAATAGAGTTGTAGAACGTCTTGTATCAGCTCAAAAATTAGGCAAACCAGTCTGTAACAGCTTTGAAACAAGTAGCAACAAAAGGAGCAAAGGAGAAATTAGAGGCAAAAGTATGATCAAGAAAAAAAAACAACTCAAAACCAAAACAATACCAGAAATAATTATTTTATACGCAGCACTGCTAGGAAAAGCCTCCTCTTATGAGCTGATGGTTAAAGCTAGAAACTGTAATGACCAATATGAAAATATGCAGCTTAAACATGTGTCACATGTATTAATTATTTATATATTGAAAACCCAACAACAAAAACCACACACACTGAAAAGTTGCAGAAATTTTCTCCTAACTAGCTCTGGATGTTCTGGTACCTAATGAATTCCTTGACATGCTCTCCTAAGAGGCAGTCTGCAGAGAAATACTTAGATTAGAGTGGTTCAGACTAGCGTGTCTGCAGCAATTTTCTCCCTCTCATACCTATTTTATTATGCTCTTCAACTGATTTTGCTTCAACAGAAAAACATTACTTGAGAGAATCTTGCAGTTATCTGGAAAGGTATCGTTCTGGCTTAGCTTCAAGGTGTGGCACATCTGCCTTGACAAGCTGCAGATGCCAGTCAGCTGCACTTAGGGTCGGTCTTCAGTAATCAATGATGAGTAAGAACAGAAAGGGCCAAAAAATGGATGAAGCATCACAGAGCCTTTGAAGGACAGAAACAGAGGTGATATGCTTCAAATGGCATTACTCATCCATGGCTTATCAGACTGCTGCACTTAGCTCAAGTCAGGAATATGGGAATACATTCCATATTTGCAGAAACAGCGCAACAGGCAGTTTAGTACCGACATTTACTTAAGCAGGTAACAAGCACTTAGTCCTTTTTACCATATTATTCTGATGACTCTGCTACCAAGAAGGTGGAATAAGGAATGTTACTGTCAAACTACTGCAGCAGGATTAGCCATAACTTTCGTCTCAAAGCTCTTAGGGTCTCATTTCAATAAGACGTTAGAATAAATACAGATAGACACTTGGAACTTTCCACTTCATCTCAAATTCACTAATCCTTGAAATCTCTTGGAGATAGTGAAGTAGTATCCCTCACCTCAAAGTTAACTAAGCTGACAAGAACGGTTAGCTCTTCCACAGTTTGTGAACCAATTCAAAGCTTTCTTGTATAAAGAAACTATTAACAGCTCTGTATCATTACGATGTTCCTCTTCTGCAAGAAATTAATTACTGATGGAGAAGTATCAGCATAACTGTAATAAACAATTATGTAAGCAAATTCCTTTAGGCAGACAATTCCTAGTAAAAAAGGCTGAGAGTAAAATGTAGCAGGTTGTGGCCTACACACCAAAAACTAGAAAATTCCTTCATTTAGACGAGTTCTCCGAAATCATTAAATTTCACTTACATCAGACATTTTACGAGCAATGCCTAGCCACCCAAAACCAAACACACACAAGTCCTTCTCCCAAATCCACTCTTACAGACAACCTTCCGTTACTAGTATTATTCCAAAACAAGTAACACTTAAGTCCTCCTTCCCTTCACCCCCTGGAGGATTAAGTTCTGAGATTCCACCTAGGTGCAAACCAATTTAGGTCCTTGGCATTAAAAAAATAAAAATGTAACACATCATAAATAGCTAATACCATCAAATCATATTTTAAATACAGAACCTACATTTCAAGAAACTGCATTCCTATCAGAGATAACTGCTCACAGTCACTTGTCCATAACAGCTCTCCGACCCTCCCCACTTTCTGAAAACACAGAATTTACCCTGAATGAACTATCACAATCTCAAAGCCTTATACAAAGCATGGGTAGTCAATGCTGGGCTTTCTTGTGCTACACAACAGCCTCAGACCTCTTATGCAATCGCTGTTTCCACAGGAATTTAGTTTTGTATAGGTGGCATATTAAAGCAAGAATGTGTGAATCAATAAAGTTACTGTTCCAGAAATATACTTTGTCTACAGATATGACAGTAAGCAGAAAGACTAAAATATATGACCCTAATAATTTCCTCCTGCATACAAAACAGAAAGCCTTTATGCCAAAACTAGAATTGATCATCTAAGGATGCAATACTGAAATATACAGCAACTGGGATTGCATTTTTTTTTTTTTAAGATTAAAGGCTTTAATCATGTCAAAGGTTTAAAGTAAGAACTTACAGTCTACAAAAGGCACATACATAATCAATGTTTCATTAGAACTGAAAATAAATGCTCAGCTATCACACTCAGCTTCCACACCTTCAAAACAACCTACTCCTATCTTGTATTTCATTGCATCTTCCATGCAGTTTTTGATATCCACCTAGATGCAATTTACAAATGGTGAAGAAAATAGAGATGAGCTTGTTTTGATAACCTTCCATATCTAAAACTGATCAAATGTGACACAAAATCCTAGACTTTGGTATGAATACAACATGCTTACACGGGAAAGGCTATGTTGATATGTGCCTGATTGTACAAGAAATGACATTAGCATATGTATTTCATCTGAAAAGCAAAACAGTAGTCAAGTAGATGAATTAATGTTACTATTTGAACCTTATCTGCATTTCCTGTCTTTTAAAACACGTCAGCATTGCAAATTTAATCTTTAGGTGATGCAGGAAGACCAACTGAAACACGTTTTAACAGCAGTATTTTTTTTTGTTATGAATTTGTCAGTTGACCATAGGAATCTATGAAAACATTCCTTTCCGAGAGGTCGCATTGAATTATGGTCCTATAAACTTCATAAACAAAAGCAGGCACAAAACAAACAGCAGCAGTTCCTGCAAGAATGAAGGCTCGACCCAAAGTCTATAAATTTCTCTCTGGTCTCAGACACAGGACAGCTCTTCACTTTCTAAATTGTCAAAGGAGGACTGGGAAGAAGAAACAAAGCCCCATTTCTGAAACAGTAAAACTGAATAACAGCTTAGAGACAGATTACTATGGTTATAGTCAATCTCTTCAGCCTAAAATTAAAAAAATTGCTTATTTGAAAATGAAGAAACTCATCTGAACTTGATTAAAGAGGA